GGGTTTTGGGGGTTTTGTCCTGTCTCTGTCTGTTTCCTCACATTTCCTGTTCAGCTCTGTTTTTCCTCCTTGTGTTCAGCCCCTGTCTCACCTGTGTCTCATGTTAATCACTGCAGGTGTCTGTCATTGTCCCAATCAGTGTCTGTGTATATATCCAGTTTATCCACTTGTCTTTGTCTCCAGATTGTCCTTCAATGGTGTCTTGGTTGGCCTCCCGTCATGTTGCTCTGATCTGTTCTCAGTACCAGTAAGTGGTTGCCCTGTCAGCCTTTTGATTTTGTTTTTTGAGAATAAATATTTTGATCTTTTTACCTCAAGCCTCCTTGTCATCTTCCTGCACTTGGGTTCAACACTCCTGATGGCAGATCCTGACAGAATCCAGAGACCATTACTGAACCCAGCAAGAAGATGATAACTTTGTTCGAGTTTTTGGCCTGTGAGGTGGATAAAACCATCCAACGAGACAGAGAAAAGGAGGAGAGAAAGAAGAATCCGTTTTTCGGGACCCGCCTGGCCATTAAACCCGGGTCCTGAGCCTCTCCGTCTCACTCCTCCTCATCTGCTCGTCACGCTGCTGCAACCCGCTGTCCACCTCCTCCTCGTTCTCCTCCTGGCTGTCCCACACGATCGTCTGAGAGAGGGGGCGAACTGCTGGTCCTCCCCGAATCTAGTGCATGGAGGAGAGAGCTTCACAGGCGAGAAGGAAGCCCAGCCCTCGGTTGCCGGTTGAATGGTGGAAGATTTCGCAGGGGGGAGGAACCCGTGTCCACGAGAGGAGCAGTCCGGTTCTCGCTCGCTGGAGAAACGAGGGGGAAGTTTGCTGGGGGAGAGGAACCCATGCCCACACTTGCCAGAGGAGCAGTCCAGCCCTCCCTCATTGGAGGAGCTGGAATGGTGGCAGGCTTCTCTGGTGGCGATGTATCTTGGTCCGCCCAGCTGCGAGGAGATCCAGGAGGACAGTCTTCCATCTCCTGCTGCAGCTCCTTCTCTGACACCTGCTGCAGCAGCCCTGGCCCCATCTCCTGCGGCTGCAGCTCCGGACTCTGTCCCTGCAGCTCTGGCCCCATCTCCACCGGCTGCAGCTCTGGTCCCTGGTTCCCCAGCTGCAGCCCCGATCCCTGGCTCCCCAGCTGCAGTCCCGTCTCTGGTCCCTGGTTCTCCAGCTGCAGCCCTGTCTCTGGTCCCTGGTTCTCCAGCTAGTCCTTCGGCTAACATCCTCGCTCCTGGCTCATCTCTGGAGGTCCTCGCTCCTGGCTCGTCTCCGGAGATCCTCGCTCCTGGCTTGTCTCCTGAGGTCCTCGCTCCTGAGTCTACCGCAGAAGATCTTCGGTCTGCAGAGAGCTCAGGGTCCCCGCCTTGTAGCACCCATGGTCAGTCATTCGACGTCTCCGCTCCCGGCTCGTCTCTGGAGGTCCTCGCTCCCGGCTTGTCTCTAGAGGTCCTCGCTCTGGGCTTGCCTGTGGTCTTCGTTCCCGACCCGCCTGCGGAAGTTCCTCACCCCTGGTTTGGCTCTGGAGGTCCTCATCTACCTGAGTCCAGGCAGGCAGAGATGGACTCCTCTACTACCTGGGAAGGGACGGTCCCCTGATCACCCACTGAAACCCTTGCCTGAGGGTGGATGGTTTCCTTGCCACCCCCCTGATCTCTTGCTTCATCAAGGATGGTCACCTGGTTGCCCTCCTGAGTACTGATCCTGCCCTGCATGGTCTCCTGACCTCCCACCTTGACTCTGGGACGTGGTCCGTGGTCTTTGTGTTTTGTGTTTCCCAGGGTTTATTCCTGCTGGCTTTTTGTTCTTTTGGTCCTGTGTGTACTCGTCCTGTTTTGTCCTGCCTCCCACCCAAGTTGAATGCAGCTTGTCTTTGGGATGTCATGAGCCATCCCTTGAGTGTGTGTGTGTGTGTGTGTGTGGGGGGGGGGGGGG